TAATCTTCTTGGTTTTCTCTTTGACATCTTTCTGATTTTTCGAAGTACTTTGAGGTTTAATGGATTCCAGAGGTAATTCAACCAGTAAACCTTGTTTTTCTAGTGAACTTCTTACCCTTTGTGAAATCTCTAATGCCATGGTATTATTAGGCTCCATGTTAAGAACTGCATTAACATCTCTGAAAGCTAATTCCAGCCTATTCAAAGACTCGTAACACCGAGCTCTCTTTACGAGAGCTTTACTATACTTCGGTGTGACCTCCAGGGCCAAATTAAGCTCAAGGATTGCCTTGGGGTACTCGCTCAACCCCATCTGCATATAACATGCAGCAATATCGGTCCTAAGATAGCACACATCTATGTGATTCTTTGGAAGCAATTTGAGAGCCTTCCCATATATCATCATTGCTCTTTCAAGGTCCCTTTTCCGAAACAGTTTGTTTCCCTCTTCCTTCAGTTCCTGAGACAGGGCAATGAAAACTGCCGTGTCCAAATCATACGATTTCGAACTATTTCCCCCAACTTTGTTTTGCTTCATATTGTTATCACCTGTTTGCCCTGTTTGCTTCTTGTTCTTTCCACTATGCTTCCCCATTGAAAATCCAAATCAAACTAGAAACCCTCACAAACAAATCAAATGCGACGACAACGACGACAGCAAATCACTACCCTGATATTGAACAAACTTGTTATACAAGTTAAAAGATTCAACCCCAGCAGCTAAAACCACATGCAACCTCCCACCAAGGATGAAATTAATTCCCAGGAGACCTTAAAACACCAACTTTTGACAACTTTTACTATGAGTAAGAGATTCAGAAACCAGTTCAAGCACACCAAACCATTAAAACCCAGATACCAAAAATGAAAAAAAAAATGTAATCTTTACCAACTCCAAGCCAGGAGTTTTGAAATCCCAGTTAGAGAGAAGTCAAAGAATCCTCAAGCCCTCAACTCCAGCTAAAAGGGAAGACCTTCATAAACAACCAAAACCAAAGAAGAAAACTTGAAGGCAGGAGACCTTAAAACTAACTTTTGGCAACTTTTACTATGAACAGAAGATTCAGAAACCAATTCAAGCACACCAAACCATTAAAACCCAGATGCCAAAATGGAAAAACAAAAGAAGCAAAATGTAATCTTTACCACCTCCAAGCCAGGAATTGTGAAATACCAGTTTAAAGAGAAGCAAAAGAATCCTCAAGCCCTCGACTCCAGCTAAAAGGGAAGACCCTTCATGCACAACAACCAAAACCAATGAAGAAAACTTGAAGGCGGGAGACTTATCTGGGGGAAATGAATTCATAAAGCTAATGTTTTTGTTTATTTTTCTACAGAAATTCAGCTTGACGTAAACGCCACAAAAAAGCTGTCTTTGTTTGAATTCTTTTGGCTGCTTTATATCTCAAAAGCAAATTGCTTATGTCTTTCCCAAGGGATTCCAGGTTTGTTGTGTACGTTTGATGAAAAGCCAGAGGCAGAGATTTGTTTTGACTACTGCCACCACCACCATTTTTTTTCATTAGAATACACTTGTAAGTTGCTACTTTCTTTCTATTTTGCTACATTCAATCACAAATATTACTTGTATGTTTAAAAAAGCACCAAATCAAAGGGACTATGATAACAAATATACACATTGCAATAGGTCCAAATTCCTTGGCTTGAAAGTTGAGAGGCACGATGGTTGTAACAAGTCAATGTTTAAAATCATATTAAAATATTTCTTTTAGGTCCACACCAAAGCAATGTGAAACTGTTTACAAAATAGATTAATTGTACCAAACGTTTTTTAAAAGATAAATTACACTCATTATTATTTAATTATACATAAATTTTATTTTAATTATTGAACTTTTGATTTTATCAATCATGTCATTTAATTATTTAAATAATGTCAATCAAATTACATATTGCTATTATTTAACAAAGAAGTTATTATGGTTGTTAAATTTTTTTGTATAATAATATATTTGATATGTATTACTTATACATTCTATTAATTAACTAAATTAATAAAATATGTAAGTAATGAGAATCTAATATATAAGTATACTAATTTTTTAACTACATCCATCAAATTTTAACAAGTGACTTGGTTGATATTATTTAAATATCAATAGTAAAAATAGAATTTTTCTATAGTTAAATGATCCATTGGTATAATTTACCCTTTCCTAAAATATATCTCAAATTTTAAAAAAAAAATCATTGAAGTTTTTTAGTGTATCGTTTTAGATCTGATATAAAACATGTTTAAAGCATGCATATGCATAGTATATAAATAAATTGAATTTAGGGTGTTAGGAAGGAGGGTTATTTATTTTTTTAAATTTGTAAAATATCTGATAAATTTGAGGCAATGATTATTTTAAAAATCTCATGATTAAAATGTTAATTTTAAATTATCAAAAATAAATCTTAAAGTTGATGATTCATGACCTAATTTTTAGGATAAACTATGTATTTAGTCACCTAACTACTATTGTAATTTTGTTTTGGTCATCTAACTATTTTTTTTAAATTATACCTAAAATTACACTTTTGTACCATTTTGGTCAACCGCCATTGAAAATAAACATAATTGTTGATATGGTAATTTTTTTATTTTTTCAATGATGACGTAACATTACTCTTTGATGACACATAAGCGTCACTGTTAATTTTTTAATATCAAATGATCAAAATAGAACTAAAAGATAATTTCAGATATGATTTTGAAAAAAATAGTTGAATGACTGAACACGTAGTTTATCCTTTTTTAAGGTTATATTCATATAAAAAAAAGGCCTAGATTTTAGATTTCAAGCAGAGGATTTTGGGGGCTTAAGTCCATAAACATGTTGAATGGCTTACACTTTTTAACAAAACAACACGAAGCCCATCTTAGCCACACACTTATATGACGTGGCGGTATCCCATTGCTCAACCTGCGTAGACCAGTGTCATCTTCAGCAGCTGTGGATACATCTTCTTCTTCCTCAACTTCCTTCTTCTCAGCAGGCACAAATTATATCGTTCTAGATTAAACTACGGTTCCTCAAAACGGAAAAAAAGGAAATATGAGACTGTTTATTAGTTTGGTAGCAGTTGTATATATCTTGGGCAGCAATGTATTAGCCGATCAGATTTTCTCATCTCAAGTAGGTCAGCCCATATTTCATAGTTTTTCTTCTTCTTTTTAAATGTAATTCATCTATTTTTTTTATAGTTCTAGGTTTTCTTTGATTCTTGTGTTCATGCGTGAAACGTAGAAGAGTTGAGTTCATGATGAGACCTTATGATGGCACTTCAAATATCTATTCCCGACGATTTTATTGTTTTAGATGTATGAATGTTTCCTGGATTGTAAGACATGCTACTTGTTTATTGTTAATTAGTAGTTAGGGATGGACAGCGGGACTGGTAGGGCGATCGGCCCTATGAAATTTTAAATTCTCTTATAATTTAGGTATTTTCTCTATTTTATATCCATAGTTTTCATCTCCAAAATTTTATAAATTCACCCCTAACTAAATAGACTTTATGTCTGTGTAAAGTGTTTTCTGCATCAGTATTGTTCCCCTTTCCCCCCCCCCCCCCAACTAGAAAGACTTTGCAATTGAGTTTAGTTTGTTTACTTGTGAACCCAAACTCCTTTTGGCAAATGTTCTTTTATAGAGTTACGAATAAGTGTTGAATCTGACTATTTATTCATGAGAGCAAAGTGTTATGACCCAAACATCTATGCCAACTCAGCAATCCTATCAATTATTGACAGATCAACATTCCAAGGCTTTGTTGGTTACGGTAACTAGCTATAAAATATAGCGGAGTCAATGAAGGAAGGGCATGAAATATTGTTATAATCTGTTACTCTCTCCCTTTCTAGTTTCTCTCTGTTCTTCCCTCCTATTTCTCTTTCTATCTTCTCTATTTGCTGTAATTTCTTGTTCTTCAATGGAATACAACTTAATTACTTGAGTTCATATCATTAAGAAACTGAGTGAGTTCATAACACAAAGTCATGCTAAGAGCTGATTGTTTGATAAAATTGGATAATATGAATCATAGCCGACACGCTAAGGTGGACGCCAAATAATTGGCATATGTTCTCTTTGCTTTGTGTTTGTGGATCAATCAAAGGCTATCGGTTCTTAAATATAGAAGGGTGAACTTGAGAAGCCTAGTAAACCAGAGACTGAAAATAGTAACATGTAAAAATCCTGAAATCTTTTACGTGTACACATTAATGTAAGCGAGAACATTTTTATTTTGAAGTTTTCTGCTTAACATGCTCTTATTATTTGCAACTTATTTTGTTTTCCTACTAACGAGTTCAAATAAACTAGTATACATTTTATCTAGCAACACACTTCAGCGTAATGATTTATTTTCTATGTTTGAATGCTTGAGAAAGTTTGTATTTTGAAATTGGAGAGAATGTGTACAAACTAGTTGCAACTTGAAAGATGGTTATTAATGGTATGAGAATAATGAAAATCTCAGTGTCTTAATCGTGTCGTAATTTTCCGTGTGAATATAGCTTTAATAGTGAGCTGGTTTTCCTTTGATGTGAACCTATCAAGTTCCATCTGGACTTGCCACTTTTAATGATCTAATATTACAATGTTTGGAACATTTTGCAGGATGATGATCAGGAGTCTGTTTTATGCCTAAAAAAGATGGAAAGATCATTTTATGTTTCTTGCCAAAGGTGGAAAAGGCCAAGACTTTAAAGCCAGTTACTCAGCAGAACACTAGTAGCATGATTGTGGAGTCCGAGAAACGTGTTAAACTGAAAACACCTGATGAACTGCTGGAAGTACTGAAAGATAGAAACTTTATCAGAGTAGACACCTGGTCCCTACACAATGTTTGTTTGGTGTTGCCTATATTGAATTGATGATGCTGTCATTGGACATTAATGCAAAGAATTGAGAAAGGCTTTGTTCTTCCTTGGTGTTATGTGCCACTTAACTCATATTTGTCTCTAATGTTTATGTTGTGGGCTCTTTTTTTTGCAGCAAGAGGGTTGGTGATCTTTTGAATTTTGCTACCAAAAGCAGTTTAGGAAACTACATGTGGAAGATGATAAGGTAGATCTTTTATTGAATTTAAGGTGCTCATATTTACAGTAGACTTGGGCTTTTTCACTTGTTTGAGAGTTTCGTCTTGTGATGTATGCTACCACCAGCAGCTTTTATAATTTCTCAATGGTACATTTTCTACCATTTTGGAATTATTGCAGGTGGTTCGGGAATTTGTCTTGGGTGTATATGATGAAGAGGCCACTGCGGCTTTCAACCAGAATCTCTCCGACATCTCCACATTAAAAGATCATCGATCAAAAGATGCATCACAATTCACAAAGGTGAGATTTCGTATGGTTTAAAATTTAGGTTGCACCAAACTTTGTATGTTTATTATAATTGTGGTACCTCTTCCGGACCTCCTCGTTCACTCCACCTATCAAAGCCTCCGGAGTTCCATATCTTCCGGTTAACTACAACCTCTTAACATGACCATTGGCAGGACCACGTAATCCATTCGAACAAAAACTACTATTTGACAGTGTTATCTATTTACCTGCTAGTTTACGGATAACCATCATCACCCTAGACCTGTCACCAACACTAAGGGTCTGTCTATTCTCTACATCCTTCACAGAACTACCAATCCGGGCACTCCACCCAAACCAAAACGGGTGCACCGCCACAACTACATTTATCACAACAACAATGTTCCTTTAACTTTTACCAAAAAAAATAAGTTCCAAGTGGTGAAAAGTACAAGATTGCTGAATTAAATGAAGGAAAATAAAAGAAAAGGACTATAATGATGCCATGTCTCAATGCAGGTATCACACTCGTCAATATTCGAATGGAACCCTATGTGATCTTACTAATCAGCCCCGAGAAACTGAGGTATGAAGCAACAAAGTGACAGTATTGTGATATGGTTTTTAGATCTCCTTTGGAAGGAAAGGTTCATGCATTTTTAATCTTAGATTCATTCTCATCTTTTTATGCTTTGTTATTTCTGTTTGTAGGTGAGATTTGTCTGCTCAGAGCCGAGAGCAATGATTAGTTCCATTACAGAGTTATCCACATGCAAGTATGCACGTACTGTTCAAAGCCCTATGCTATGCAAACACCCGTGAGTCTTAATCTCTCTCTCTCTGCTCCAAATTCTAGATTTAGCACTATTGATGCTAGTTTCTTAGAGCTGATATTACCTGTCGGAAAGGTAAAAGATATGCCAATAAAAGATTGTGATTCTATCCCTGATTTTGTAGGAAGAGGAGAGACCTGTGTGGCACACCATTAACTGCAATGCCCTTCCAAAGGATTACAAGGATACCAAGATCGAGGACACTTATGAGTATGATCATGGACTCGGAAGATCAATCTAATAATTATGATTCAAACCAATGAATGTTGTTATTCTTCTTTAACTTTAGTCATAGATTTATAGAGTTAAGCCTTGTCAAAGTAAAAACAGTATATCAAATTCAAGGATTGCTAATACTTGTGAATACTCTCTTTTTTCGCATTTAAATATTTTGAATTCATATATTAAAATTATTATATGATGCAAATTCAGAGCATGAAGATGCAATATACATTAATGCAGATATAAATACCATGCATGTGACATACATAATTATTATATGATACAAATTCAGAGGATGAAAATGCACTATACATTTATTCAGATACACTACCATGCATGCAACATACATTTATGCAGATACAAATACCATGCATGTAACACATTCATGAACACTATTTTATGATTTACTACCTGTACTGAGGCCTGTATCAGTGGTGCATCCTCTTCAAATATATGCACTACTAATAATTTGCTCAGAATTATTCTCATCCCGAAGATTGAGCTTCCTTACTATCTGTTGAGGCCAAAAGAGTCCAATACTCCTGTATTGCTTCACCTTCTTTTGTGACTTCAATGTCGTAGTCCGATAACGCATCAGCACCTTCTATGTCTCTTGCAAGTTCATCTTCCATCTCCACGTCCCGTTCTTCGTCTGCAGAAGTTGACAGGCCTTCAGCAGCAGCATTGGCACTCGCAATATCAGGGTTCACATGGTTAGGCTCTGAAGCAGGATTCCTGATGCTGTTAGCATCAACACCGGGGAGTGGTGGCTGAAATTCTGATAGCAGTCGACTCAATGTTTGCTCCATAGTTTCATCAAACTGAACGGAAGCAACAGCAGCAACCACTGAAGCCGGGAAAATATCAGAATGTTACTAGAAAATCCTTGTCAAGTTTATGGACTCAAGTTACTAGAATATCTAACATAGCTACAAAGCAATCTAGATCATAAAATGAAAAACAACTTTGAAAATACAAGTATAGAAGTTAGAACTATTTCCTCATTACCTCTAGATCTGTCAAATCCCATGGATACAAGCTCTTCAATTCTAGCATTTGCGGCTCGTTCCTTCCTTTTCCTTTTCCTTGATTCAATATCAAGCTGCAGACAAACATAGTCAATGAAAGCCGCATGGCCAATAAAATTTAAAATTGGGAAAATTTCATGAAAAAAAAAGAGTCAACCTGGATAGCAGAATTAATTTCTGGATTGGTCAGATCATCTAATGCCTTTTGAAAATCATTTTCATTCCTTCGAAGGGCTTCAGCAGCAAGTTTCTTCTCAAATCTGCCAAATAAAAAATATCTTAGCCTTTCCAACAAAATAAAAAGAAAAAGCAAAGAAGAAAAAAAAAGGAGAAAGTTAAGCTTTTTGTGGATGGTACAATGGAAGTATCACTAAAGCCTAAATGAATGAACTGTCCTTATCTCCATTTTACTTTCATTACTATGAAGCAACTTGAACTTTCGATGCCAACAAGTATACACCAAAATGATAGTCATCATATCACATCAATGAAGATTTAGATAGACAAAGAAGAATACAGTACACTGCTCACCCAATAGCCACTAATTCTTTCAATTTCTCAAGATTCACAGCCTTCTTCAATGGTGTTACTCCATATTGCTTCAGCTCCCTGAAAATTTACATTATTTTATTTGTACATAAAAGAAAATGACAATTGAAACAGAAATTAAGCATATTATACCCACATGATTTCCTCTCTATGCCTGATATCATCCTCCCTCTTTTGTGCTATCTTTGCTTTTTCCTCAAAAAGAAAATCAACAGCTCTCCCAATATCTTGATTGTTCAATCGTAATGCCCTCCTTGCATCACGTTCCTTAAAGCCCATGCTCATAACATGAGATAAGGCTTCGTCAGACACTTGTAACTGATATCAACACACAAACAATAAGGCTTAATGTTGGAGAAGGATGTCAATAAAGTATGGTTAAGAAAATAAAAGTTGGAAAAACAAAAGAAATGGCAAGCAAATTACAAATCCAGTCTTATAATTCTTGGTTCATAAGATACGACAATAAACACTCCCATTTTATCTACTCATTGAATCCAAACCTAATCCTGTGCTCAAAGGTTGGCTGCAGGCATTCTGATACGGGTATTTTGAGACGAGAGGCACTGTGGTGGTCCCCCCGGACCAACCCAGTCAAATCAGAAAAAGGGGAAGAATCAATGTTCTCCCCTTTACAATAGAACCATCAAATAAAGATGAACAACGAAACAAGATATCTGAAAAGAACTAGCTGCTTTGACAATAAGTAAAGGAACCTGTGAGAATTTTGCTTGTGCAGATGTCAGAGCCATTTTAGATTTATCAAACTGACCATTATGGTATGCCACCACCCCTTCCAACAACTCCAACCTCATATGTCTACAAAGATAGAACGCAAAAGAGATTAGCCAAACATCGCAACCAACAGCATTCTCATTCAAGACCAGAAAAATAAAAATTGATCCACTGAAGCAATTTCCTGAAAGTACTCACAATGCAAGCTCTGGTTGGCAACCAGCTTGAAGGAGTCTAACACGGGAAAAATCCTTCCCATGACAACGTTCAAGTCCTTCTCTGGCTTTTTCAAGGCGTATTCCTGCTACTGAAAGCCAACTGATATCTCGAAGCAAGAAATAGCACCACACAATGTCTATTTGCAGTATTGTACATTGTCAATGAACTGCAATCAAACACACAGCCAAAGTGTGGAAGATTTTATAAAAAGCACGCAATCATTCAATAGCATATGCATGTTCACGAATATATAGGGTTAACTAAAAGCTAAAGCAACTTTTATTTGTATCTATAAACAGAAAACTGATCCACAGCATGGACTACTTATTCAGAAAATAAACCTTCTTCAATTCTAAGAAAGAATGTCTTACCTCAAGGACCTTGGGATCACAAAGTGAGAAAGCCTCCTACAATAAAGAATAAGGTACTATATTAATTAATTATCAGACCCAAAAAATTATTTCAACATATACTATATTATCAGCTTCTCTAACAAACTATGTCATATCTAGGCATGGGTATAGAGATACAACCCTCCAAATATATGAGAAAAATTATTATATCCATGTACATGTATTTGTATTCGACACGCATTCCCCAAATCCAATTAACATTCCAGACAAGAAAGTTTATCAACTGCTATTCTAAGAATCCAGATGCAAACAAGAAAAAACAGTGTTGAAGCAAATGTGGGAGGATGTTAGCAAATAACCTCCCCCATGGTAAGCACTTCCAGTGCATCTTTATAGAGTAATCTCCTAAGTAGATTCTTTGCATTTTCATGAAGCATCAAACCCATCATCACTGCCCTGTTCAAAGACCATTCATATCTTAATTTAGTTTTAAAAAAATGGGGTCAACTATCTTAATAACCAAAGAGAAAAAGGCATACCGCTGATCAGTCTCGGTTCCTAATTGCACTTTTTTCCCTCCCTGGTTTTCAAGTTCAATATTGAAGTCTTCAACTGGTAACGAGCCATCTACATGTCTCTTGGAAAGTGCAGTGGCAGATGCCCTGCCAATAGAGATAACTATGGATTAGTGACCGTGTAGTTTTATTTTCATTCACACATGTTCCTGATTCTAAAGATCATAATTTTCCTCACAATTTAGAATAAATTCGGTAACTTTGATTAAATCAATGATTTTCTATAAAACCAAGAACCCAATCAACCATCAAAAAGAGCACCCAGCTTCTATAAAAATAAGTACAGAGTTGACCAAAGACTCACTTGACTCGAGCAAGTCTACGAGAGCGCTCTTCCTCGGCCATCAACTCTTGTTTCAAGGACTTGCCTTCATCAACGGAGACACGGCTGGCCAGAATCTTAGCATTGTTTTTTATACCCAATTGGCTTAACTTCTGGGACCCATCGCCGTCTTTCAAAACTTTACCGGCAGAAATAAGGTTGATGGAGTCGGGATGAAGGCCGTTCGATCGCTTGGCTACCTCTTCCCTCAGCATAGCCACCGTCCAATTCTCCAATTCTAACTCTAAAACACCAACCCATGTCCCTCCGATTTTCAATTTCGCCATACCCAGATAATTAAAAGAGTAAAAAAAAATTATCTTTTTTGAAAGGGCAAAGACTTCCCAGTGAGGACGAAACGTCCCAATTATATATAGGTTTGAAAGAAGTTTAATAGTTTGGGGTAACTTCGCGACCAAGTTTAACAGTTTGGGGACCAAGTTTAATAGTTTGAGGTCAACTATAGGGTAAAGTATGTATTTAATCATCCAACTATCACTTTGGTTCTATTTTAGTTATGTAACTATTTTTTAAAAAAAATCTTACTTAATATTACATTTTAATTATGTTTTACTCACATGTCCTAAAAAAAAAACAGAATTGTTAACGTGGTAATTTTTATTTTTCAAATGATGACGCGACATTACCTTATGGTGACATATTAATATCACCATTAATTTTTTAACGATAGATGATCAAAACGAAACAAAACATAACTTTAGATATAATTAAAAATAATAATAGTTAGGACCAAGATGGAACCAAAGTTATGGTTGGGTGATTAAATATAGGATAAATTATGTGTTTAATACCTAAATTATCAATTTTGGTCTATTTTAGTACCTAAACTTTCAATTTTTATTAAAACCATACCTAATGTTTAGTTTTGTTTCATTTTAGTACCCCACCGTTAAAAACTTAACACGTTTAGTATCTAAATTATTAGTTTTTATCCATTTTAGTACCTAAACTTTTTTTTTTAAAAAAAACTTAACGTTAAATTTTTAACGGGTACTAAAATGAAATAAAAACTAAACATTAGGCATAGTTTTAAAAATTGAAAGTTTAGATACTAAAATGTATCAAAATTGATAATTTAGGTACTAAATATATTTACCCTTAAATATATAGTTTACCTTTATTATTATTAGAATAAACTACACTCACCATCACTTGACTGTTGACTAAATTATGTTTTTGTTATATTACTCTAAAAAATAATGTTTTAGTCACTTGATTTGTGCATTTCAATAATTGTATCGTCAACTTCTGAAGAGAAAGATGGCGTAGCAGTTAAATAAGTAACATAATAATATATTTTTTTTTTTATTAATTTAATCCATAATACAAAAAGATATATATTTTTAATTTTTGAGTTTGGTCCTGATATTAAAAAAAATAACTTGCAATGCTTTTTTTTTTCTCTATTTCCTTTCATTTCTATATTTTATTTCATTTTCCAACTTCATAAAATAACTCTAAAATAAATTGTAACATTTTACGTCGACAACTTCAAATTTAGGAAAATGTTTATTTATAAGTCTCATATTAATTAATTTAGTATGTTGAATCGACCTTGACATTAATTGTGTCGAAAAGAGGCCTTAATTGAAGAGAATTAGATAATTATTTAGAATTTATGATTGAAGAAATAATAAAATGAAAGGTCCTAAAAAGATAATTTATGCCAAAATATCAATGGATGGGCAAGAATATTATTTTGTTTGTTATGAATATTTATTTACGTGGATGTTTATATTTATTTATAAGATAATATTTTAATATATTTTATGATTAGAATTTTTAATATTCATTAAATTTAAAGTTTTATATGATATCTATTCTTTATATCTATAGATATAAAGTTTAGAGAAAGTATTATACATAACTTAGATTAAAATCAGATGTGCAACACGATGGGTCGGTCCAGATTAGTCAAGGCAAAACTTTATAAGCGAAAGTAAAAAAAAATATAATATTAAAACTTAATATGAATAGACAACAATTTATTCTTTGAACCGTCATTGTTAACATTTTTATTTTGTAGCAATATTCCAACACGATGAAATGATATTTTTTATTATCTGCCATGAAATATATACACGACAGACCATGGATGAATTAGCAACAACAGGTACTGGTTTTCAAGAAGCAACTGATTATTTTGTAGCACAACTCATCAGGCAAGATATCAATCCCTTATGCTCTGTTTTAAGCTGAAAGTCGTCCCTTTCCCGCCTCTCCACCACTCGAACGAACTCGTCCGAGCTTAGGCTCCCATCACGATCCGAATCAAACAAATGGAATATTATGTTCACCACATTATCAGTTAACGATACTTCACATACCTTCAACAATAACATGCAACATTAACATATACGATATTGAAAATATACTTATATCCGACACCCAACTCGATCCGAATACTACGAAAATAGCAAAGGAATACGTACTTGGGATGCAGCTCTTTGGAAATCCGTTTTGGTTAGCACCCCACTTACTTTTCCATAGCTGAAAATGGCTAGAGAAAAGGATCGCAGCTTCTTTCGTAGATGAGCGAAGCTTTTGAATTCTTCGAATGAAATCCGAACGTCTTTGAGACTTGATTCGTTCGATATTTCGTCGACTCGATCGAGCAGCTTGCTTATGTCGCTCATATCGGCAGCGGCCACCAGCGACAATGCGAAATCTTTAGCTGATATCGTTCCATGCAGCTTGTAGTCGTAATGAGCAAACTCCAACCTTAGAATCTACAAAATCGAAACACGGTAATTACTAACTAGTTTCTTCCTGAATGTTAATTCCAGCTTGTCTTGAATGGAACACATACTTCATGGTGTAAATCTCGTAAAAATTGGACGAATTTGTCGTGTTTTAGACACGTCTGGCCGTCTTGGCCGAAGAAGTACTCCACCAAGCCTCCGTTCTCGACAGGCTCCGCGATTTTGAGGCCAATTCTCCGCCCATCGCGGTGGCGAGCCGCTTGTTTATTTTGCGATCGCATCAGCGTCATCACTCGCTTGAATTCTTCCCTATCTATTTCTCCGTTATTGTCAAGGTCGAACATTTTGAAAGCAATGGAGAAGCTTGATTCAGGAATGCTAAGGAGTGTAACAAAGAAGATGTACCTGCAAATGTTGAAATTGAAAACAAAAATTGAGGATCTTAAAGGTTGAACGAGGGGTGTTGAGGTATGGTCACACCCATGAAAACTTCAAATTTTCCGATGTTTCTATCGATGGTCCAGTTTCATACTAGAGTTAAACAAGACAATGAGAAACGTACTCGGCAAAAGATATGAGTCCATCATTGTTGGTATCAAAAAGCATGAAAAAATACGACGGAGGGCAGTGTAACTCCCCGGGCTTCACCGGTTCCCCTCTCAGACAACCCTCTCGAATCCAATTCGATTCAGACGGAGGAAATACCGGAACAATCGCCCGCATCAAGTCCCCCGGTCTCATAAGAACATCGCCTTCTGGTGTTCTATAGGATGCAAAGTAATCGAATACCTGACTCATATAGAGAAACAATTCATAAGAACACCCCCTTCAGATATATAGTATTAAATTACGGTCCCAACACATTAGAGTGGTCACATATCGGTTTTTAAGTTCATATGAAAAGCTTTTACCTTTTCAGGAGGACTTTGCAACCTTATACGTTTCTCATAATTGAAGAAACTCTCCTCCTGTATGATTCTGAAACATTAGAATAAAAAATTATGTATATATTAAAGACTTATAATGAAGAAATGCGATGGAAAAAGATTCAAGATCGGTGCTTTCTCAATCCCACAACATTACCACCAAAGAGATACTTGGTTTTCTTCTCGGGAACATGTTCGAACTGATCGGATACGCCGTCAGCGGCCAATGTCGCCGCCCCACTGGGCGCATCGGCAAAAGAAACCGAAGCAGAATGAGAAGAGTAGCAAAACCCTAAACCAGACCCAACGATGAAAACCCCAGTGGAGATTAATCTCAACAATTCCTCCCTTCCACTGGTGTGTTCACCGGAACGAGTGGAACCACCACCGGAGGAAGGTTTCTTCAACAAGCTTAAATACGAAGAAGATGAAGCAGATTCCTTCGATTGGTTAAACACAGACCGTTGATTAGCAACCACTTGTTTGATCAATGGTGAGGATTTCCTGAGAGATGGCAAAGAGAACATAGTACGGATTCTTTTTCTTATTCTAGGCTTGGGTGAATTGGTGATTTGAACTCTTTTTTTCTTCTTCTTTGGTTTTAACCGATGATGATGGAATAATAACTAAGTTGGGATGATAATACGTTCAGGACGGTTGTTTTTGACCGAGAAAAATGGCGGTCTTTTAGAGTTTGATTTTGATTACTACTACAAAAAAATTTCTTTCCTTATTTAATTGTTGGTGGTAGGGATGGGATACCCATCCGATGAGTTTTGATTTAAATCGATTCGGTTGGATCGATTTTTATTTTAAAATTTTAAATTTTAACTAAGTCAGATTTCTTTGTGGCCAATAGATAAGATAAATACAGATCTAAGATGAAAAAAAATTAACTTGATCTAACCTAACATTACAATTATCAATTATATATTTAGAAATAATTACGATAATTCATCTTTTATGTTATTTTTCAATTAAATTCTTGTTTTACTTCGTAAAAATGAATATATATATCAAATTAAATCAATTATAGATTCTGACATCAAAATTAAGTTGAATGGGATTTTAAAAACTCGTATCGAAGTACGAATGAAGGGGTTTAACTTTCAAGGCGAATTTAGATGGACTAAAAATTCAACCCGAGTAACTATCATCCTTGATTGGTTGATGGATAATTTTTACTTTTTTATTTATTATTTTTTCCTTGTTTAAGCTCCCTCTTACCAAACAAACGTTTTAGTGAGGAAAACATGAACATTTACATTTAACTTTTGAATTCGTGCTAAGCGGAGAGAAAATGGAAATTTGAGAATGTTGGGCACGGAGCACAGCAGCTAGCCTATCCATTATGTCTTTAAATAATTACTATCTTTTATAGACAACCGGGACTTATCCTAACGAGAAGATGGACCATTGGCGTTAGAAACTAGGTTTGAAGTTGAACTATGAAGAACCAATTATTGTTAGATTTTAGATTTGAGTTAAAGTATGTTTTTTCGTGAAGTACTGGATTCAAGTAATTATGAATCTAGAGCTGAATCAAAGAAGCAGGAGCAGGTCGAAAAAGAACATCGTCTTTCCGGTGACTGCACTAGTGGCACTACAGAAGTCACTGTCCCTGAAAATTTGAATGAGCAATTTGTCTTGCTTAAACAAAGTTATAGTTGATGTATTGAGATGCTTTCCAGATAGAGTACTAGTAATGAAGGTGCTGAAAGTACAAATACTCTAAAAGAAGAGGCCTATGATTATAAGATAATATCTGTTTAGAATTTACTTTAGCATATGATAACACACATTCGTCGTCGTACTTAACTATTCAAATCCAAATATTTTAAGGAGAACAACGATGTCTATTAGCATTAAAGCTATTCAATAAATTTCATTCAACTCGAAGATAGAACAAGTAGTTGCTGCCACAATTTCAACTACCTTCCGAATTTCAATATGTTGACAATCCCAATACACCCACCATATTTATTTACTCTTCACCTTTCTTGTCTATTTGTTATATAAACCCTCAAGGAAGGTTGGACCACTCACATGAAACAATCTCCAATCTTTTCAGCATCCTATCGTATAACCCATGGATTGGTACTCTTGGTTGTCTAGAACTGCCCTTGACCCCTCTCTTATCCGTGACTATGGCCTCGCCTTCTCCCGCAATCATCTCCAAAGAGAGGATTTAGCACAGTTCAACCACCAGTTTCTTCAGAGCATGGGCGTTTCGGTTGCCAAGCACAGGCTTGAGATTCTCAAGCTTGCCAGGAAAGAAGTTGACCAGCCTTCTAATAGCCAGTCCAAGCTCATTTTGGCAATCAACAAAACCAGAAAGTGCTTCAACAGGTGTGTTAACAAGTTGGTTCACCACCAGCATTACGCAATCGAGTCGCTTCCTGAGCCGGTTCGTTATCGGGATCAATGGAGGGGAGTGTTGACAAGGAAGTGCAAGAGTGAAAAGGAGGTTAACATAGAGCAGCCAGTGCCAAGAACAAGGAAGATAGCAAAATCCGGTCCCTTGGATTACAGGGAACAAGAGAAGAAGCTGCTTGCTCCTCCTAGGAGCTTAAAATTGTCCGGGCCTCTAGACAGAGAAACGCAGGAGAAGTTGGTGCTCGTTATAGGAGTCCTACACCATCTGGTCCTATTGATGTTGCAGTGGCACAGGAGAGGCTGATGTTCACATGTAGGAGCCCAAAACTATCAGCACCTCTTAACTATGTAAGACCTCCAAGCCCAAAGATTCATGGTGACTACAACAAGGAAAAAGAAAGTGGGAACTATGGTGATCACACAAAATGGGCGGCTATGTTTCAGGACATGAAACCCACTTGACTTGGTCATTATATGTTTCCTTCCAATCAAAGGGACAAGTCCTATATGCCTTTGCATGTGAGTCTGATATAAGGTTAGGGAGCCCCAAGATTGTCATCACCATGCATACCAGATAGTTTATATCCATTTTGAGTTCATTTAATCTAAATCTTCAAGAATTATACATGCTTTAAGGTTTATATATGGTTTGTTAGGATGTTCTTGAGTTTCCAGTTCCATATCTTCAAAATTTGTAGATGGTTTGACACGGGTACGGATTATATTAGGGACAAAAACAAATTATCAATAAAAATATAAAAAATATATCTTAAATATATAATAATGTAAAAATTTGAGGGTATGACTGTCCCGTCTGTGCCCTCGATCCATCCCTGGTTTGACACTGTTATAGACTTATAGTGTTATATGCTTATAATGCCTTGAGTTGCAGACATTAAAGCCTGCCTGTCATCGTCTTCAAGTTGCAATAAATACCAGCGTCTCTTATTCAATGTAACTAAATATTGTAACCCTCGGCATCTACATTCTTTAAATGCTTGTCTACAAATAAAAATACAGCTCTTCCTTTCTGTTCATTTAAACAAAGGGGACACACCCTACTGGCAAATTACAAGATAAAAGGCAATAGCAAGATCAAGGGCTGTTGAAAATCTGTGGAACAGCTGGAATTAGGAGTTTTGTTGCAATTGCCTTTTGGTAGTTCTTTCATGAATCCATAAAACAATGCTGGTTGAAGGAGCTACTACAAAGAGTTAAGAGTGTGTTACTCGAATTTTCTTTTGACTGCTTGATAAAGAAATAAAATGAGAGAAAAATCAGAACAAGTGATGAGCTACGGCCTTGGATTTAGTATGTACAATATTTATGTAACTATGGTTTAAGGTTTGACATGCTGAACTTCTCTCTTTTGTCCGTGTTTTTCTTCTTCTTTTTTAGAATATTTCGTGTAAATCTTTACGATCTTATTGTACGATCTTGTTTGTTTACTCACCATTATTCGTAACAGAAGTAAATCGGAGAAAGGTGCTTACTATTTTAAGCCAAAATGAAGATATTCATATGGCATTTTGCCTTTGGAACGACAAGGAACGTGTATAGCTTCATGTACAAAAACAATTAGAAAAAGAAGAGCCATTAGCAGCTTCCATAAAACACCATAGAGACCAGCAAGAACAAGTAAAGTGAGCCCAAAAATGTTTGGGCAATGCAAGAAACACTTTAATGTCACATTATCAGACATTAACCCTCACCAGCAACAAGTTCAGTTCAATGTTTTTGGGCTTCAATGAGGTCTCAACTGTTGTAAGGAAAGTAGAAACGTGCTTTCTTCATTATATATATAAGAGATATACTCCCGTTAAGATCAGAATTTACAAGAATACAAATAATAATTTTAGTTACACTTCTTCTAAATTTCTTTCCATCTCAAGATTTTTAAAGAACTCATAACAATATCTTCCGACATGTACTATTCAGAATATTACACCTAGAGTTATGACCCCATCAACACAACTCTTGGACAAGCATCACATGATTTGTTAGAGTTAAAATTAATCGACAACTAACCACATCAATCAAGTTATCTACCATATTAATCTATAAATAATAATAATAATTAAATTGTGTCTAACACTCACACTAAATATCATTATAAAATATTTCGAACGAGATTGAGCGAAGGGTCTGAAACCTCTTTTCTTTGCTCGTTGACATTTTCAAAAAGATAAAAAAAATATGATATTAATCAATGTTGTTTGATCATTTATTCTTATCAACGATTCTCTTTATCAATGAAGAACATATTCATAAATTATAAATCATCAACATAAGTTACAAAATAAATAATAGATTAATTTACAGGTTACATCATCTGATCTGACCAACTCCTGATCTAATACTTAACACATTATATGGGATAAGAAGATAATAAAATAAAGAAATAAATACCAGTAGGTAGACAGATACCTTAAACACCCAGTTTTATCCAGAAAGAGACAAACAACACAGTTGAATTCCATAACTCCAATTGCCACACCATAGTCTTCTACGCATTATCTTTTGTTTTTGTAAGCAGCAGCTATAGCATTGCAACACTTGAATACAAAAACTTCCAAAACTCCATTAATCCATCCTTATCCTATCGTGTCGAGAAAACAATCATCAAAGGTCCCACGTGGTTGGTTCATGCACATGGGGTTTGTCATTTGTCATCATCCTCAAACTAGAAATAAACAAGGGAAAACCTTCACTGAATTTGGATGGGATGATTACCAACCTCAAACTAGGAAACAGGTAAACTAGGGTTGCAGGATTTAGCATATCAGAAATCACCTTATCTGATAAGATTTTTAATGGTTTTAAAGTAGAGTTGTAGACCAAAAGGACCTTTTCTTGAGTCAAGATAGAATATAAAAACAGACGTAAAATTAAAATTTTATATTGTCAGATCTCCTCAATCCATTCTGGATGGATTGATGATGATTAGATTCCCCACTTGGATGGCGGAAAACATTTGGTGGGGATGGTACGGTGCTTACATCATCACAGGGAAATTTGATCTTTCTTTTTGGGTTTGAGTGAGAGTATGTGGGGGCAAGCCCGCAAGAAGATAATGTTAACTATGAAACCCAAGGAAAAATTGATATGATAATGAATGCTTAAAAATTTAAATTATATTATTTTAATTTTTATATAATTTTATTTAAAATTTGTGTTTATGATTCTATAATTTATAATATTATTTTTTAAAATTTTAAAAATTCATCTTTTAACATAAAAATTTTGCTTTTATCCCTACAGGACTCATATGCTCATAAGAGATGAAAGTATTGTGAATATAAGAAATTATATTAAAAAATTTTAAAATATAAAATTATAAAATTCTAATGATATCTAATTAGATTATTAATAAAAGATGTTAAGAAAAAACACTTAAATAATACGAAAATATAAATTTTGGAAATAATTAATCTATTTTACAGTTTTACCCCTCACTTTCTTATAAATAACACAAATTCATTTCATTGTTTTAAGCAATGAAAAAATTATCAGCTTCCTCTCATTTTCTCTACTCATATTTTGTAAATCTATTCCTCTAAAAAGGTTATATCATTTAAATTTCATCTTCTCCGTTCGAGTTGTATGAATATAGAAATTCTATATTAACCTTGATGGATAATGTTTATTTTACAATTATAGAAGCAATACAAAATCGTTCTTAATACAGTAATTTTTTCCGTGACTTTGTATTAATGATAAAGTTTTTTTTCGAACAGTCTTAAGTAATTATAAAATAGTGTCTATTTAAAAAATTAATTTATTAATACATATTTTACAAACGTATTATTTAAACTTAAAACATTTAAAAATAACAACACTCATTTTTACTATTGAAATCATTTAATAAATTTTATTAATGAATGAAGTTTAATTGATAAATAGATCTTAAATAAATATTTATAATGTAAATGCTAAACTTTAAATCCTAAATAAATATTTAGTTAAAACGAAATAGAAGTTTAAATAATCGACCTGGATAAAGTAATTTATGTCTAGGAATGAGAATACAACAAAAGCAACACGATATGTTCATTTACCGGTAGAATACAAACCCGAAAATTGTTACTTTCTTTTAATCTTAATTCATCTTGAGGAAAACTATGGGCAAATGGAATCCAATTGAGATTTGACGCTCTTACCCGGTTGTGGGGTTTGGAGCGCGACGACAATGAAAAAACCCCAAGGATGACGCTACCGTCAACATCTATCGCTTTCGAAAAACCCTTGCCTTCATTTACAGGCTAGAATTCCGAAGTTTGACAATGAGATCTCCACTTTAGGTGAGGGTGTTATATCCAATATTATAAAAGGGTAAAATTTAAAAATAGTCATTATTTTCATATCATCTTTTTAAATACTAACTTTTAAAAGTACTGAAATCAACATCAAAATAATGATCCCTAAAAACTTAATACTTAAAAAGATGATATGAAAATAATTTACTGACTATTAACAATATATGCAGAAACAATATATACTCTGCATATATTATTGCTCGACTTTTTAATGTATGTTCCGACTTTTTTCAATTCCGATATATATCATATTTTGATATAATTGAACAGAAAACATGGAGCATTGGTGGGGTTGAATGAAATGTTGTGGAGGGTATTGATTTTCTGTAATGGCGTTGCAGATTCGGTAGGAATTAGGAGGTAGGAACGTTTTGTTGGGCTTGATATAATGCAGTTTTTTTAGTCATGGTTTGATGACCAATACAATTTTTTTAATTGCAGATTCAATGCTCTTAGTTTTCATTATTCCATTATTAATAAAATAATCGCGCCTCCTGCCTTAAATATAAAAGAAAAAGGCCATAATATTAATTGCTAAATTTAATTTGAAACTTGGTTGTCAAGGCAAGGCTCCATCGCGGGATTTCCCCGTAGTTATTTCTTCCTTATTACCATTTTACTTCTACCCTTTACGCATCAGTTAAGTCCAATTAATATGATTTCATATCTGTGTTTACTTGTTATACTCTTAATTTTTCATCAAGGGTCCAAAGCCCAATATTGTCATTTCATTCTTCTCCAACGCTAGGGTTTTTCGACTTCAAGGTCGAAAATCAGTCAAATTACCTTTTGTCCAAGTAAAATCCGTATACGTAAATTCCGCCCGCGACTTATACTCCAATTCCTGCAAAACAGACAATAGAAGAAAATTAAAATGAATTTACAAAGACTGAAAACAAATAAAATAAAAACAAATTTACGAAAAAAAGATGTGGACTGAATGGGTAAATAAAACAAACAGAAGAAACTGATGGAACGGAAAACCTCG